TTGAAATGTACTGCACGAGAGAATTGTTAAATATTAATGCATGAAAAAATACTTTCTAGGTATAGTGCTGGAGTCCGTTCACCTTTAATTCTGGAATTTAAAATAATTTAATGAGGATTAAAACAACATTGAAAATTTGGAGACAAGCTGTTAACTGTGAAACATTCATTTTATTTATATTGTAGATGGGTGTGCAATTTAATGCTTAATTAATGTTTGTTGTCCAACTATCCAAATAAAGAACAACGTTTTACAAGACAAATACTGTGTGTAGATAATATATTTCAGATGTAGACTTGAACAACTATAATTGGAAACACAGAGTTTTGAAATGAAGTCTCGCTAAATGCTAGCTCACAAGGCTTCCTTAGAAATAACTGCAATAAGGCTTGGATTAATTCTGGGGATTGCTCCAGAGGGGAGGATATATATAAAGACTTAAAGGAATTGAGGGTAACCAAGATTCCTTATATTCTTCATAAGTTCTGAGTCACATGAATACATATTTAATACATTCAAATATATTTGTCATGATTATTTCTGTAGACACAATATTCAATAAAGAAATATTTCTTCTTGAATTTCTCATATGAAAAAAATAGTCGTGCATATCATGAATCACAGTCAGGACTCAGGAGTGAAAAGAAAAATGTATACACTGCACAGCATTCAACTTTAAGAAAAGCCTCACAAAATAAAGTGGATGATGTGAATAAAAAAAAAAACCAGGAAACAGCTGCAGGGGGAAAACAGCATCTTCATCCTTGAAGAGGATAAGGGCTTTTTGCATGAGGGGGGAAAATCCTTGCAGCAAGTGTAAATGTTTCTAGGTTAACATGTTCTATGGCCCATAGGACAGGAAATAAAGAGAGGGAAATTAACATGATAGAAAATCTACATTCCTTGATCAAAATCTTGAGAAGAAAGGTTGAGACAAAGTTACCTAATATTATTCAGAAAAATATTGAAAAAGAAACAATATCTTCTGTTCAGGTATGTTTCTAACAAAATATTTCTGATTTCCTACGGAAAAATTCCAGTTTATGCGAGGAAATAAGTCAGAAATATCGTTTGATGTCGTCGAGTCCGTGTGCCTGCGAAAGAAGATTTACTTCTGAAAGGGTTTCCCCTCTTCTTCTCTCTATCACCTGCAAATAAGGGGAACAATGAAACCCTTGTGAGTACATTCCAAGACTGAACTCTAAAACCTGACAAACAACTCCCATAGGGGTACTCGCAGCATCTGAGCATCGTGTATCCCCCCACTCTCTCTGCTGCTGCTGGTAATTGCTAAAACAATTGACGGGTGTTTTCCCTTCATCCCGTCTCGGAGGCGTACGGAAGATCAACCAGGAGAAAACGACGCAAGAGGTTTAAGCCGGCTTAAGCTGTCTGGGAATGTTGACAACCACAATGGGGGCCAGCCACCGGCAGAGTTACCAAACTTCTTTTTTAAATATTATTCCAAGAACTTTTGTTAGAACCCTTGTATACGGCCACCAGTTTGCTACCAAATGCACGGCCCCTATTGAATTCATTGTCCCTCAGCCTGCCCTTATACCCTTTCAGACCCATTGTTACTTTTTTCTGTGGGTCATGGAGGGGCATACGGACGATCGCCCCGGCCAACAGATCGGCGTACGGAAGATCAACCAGGAGAAAACGACGCAAGAGGTTTAAGCCGGCTTAAGCTGTCTGGGAATGTTGACAACCACAATGGGGGCCAGCCACCGGCAGAGTTACCAAACTTCTTTTTTAAATACATATTATTGGTGAACTTCTGCTGCACTCCCAGCGAGATTTTTTCCGAAAATAGGTAGATTGCATATCCTGTTGATATTTTCCTAAAAAACTGCTGCTATAAACTATGAAGATTTCTATAGATAAAATGGAAATATAAACAGTGCTTGTTTCATAGTGTATTACAACCTTCACATCTAAAAAACTGCTGCTATGAAAATTCTACGAGAAAATTTACAAAAATATTAACAGTAATGCGTCGTTTACCGGGTACCATTTGCATCGCGTGAGGCTTTTATAAATCCGTCCCGGAGGCATTCCCGCGATTTATTGCAGGATTTCCACCTTAATGCTCGTCATACGAGCAAAACATTAATTCTTCGAATTCATGAATATTCCTGATTACTCAATTCCAGCATACTCTAAAATCACGTTGGCGTCACTTTTTCGCATTTTGAAAGTCCAGCTGTTCTCAACCTGCGTTCTGCAAAACCGTCCTGAGGGTTTTCTAGAAAATTACACAAATCATGCTTGATTAAATTGAAGATCCTAAAATGGATTTCAATGTACAGTACAGTACGTAATGCAAGAATAAGCAATTCCACTCACGAATGACAAAAACTTCTCAGATTTCAAGTATTATTGTCTTAAGGTGCTCGGTTCTTCGAAAACGGCTTCTGAGCAAAAATTTATTTCAGAAAAAACTCTGCTAGTCAAAGTGTTTCAACTCCAAGTAATGGTAAGGAATATTTTTCGAATGCAAGAAAAATGGTAGCGTAATTGTAAAGAGATAGGCCAGAATTTGCAAGAAATGTATACCAGTCTTCAGCATAAGTCAGAACATGAAACAATGCAGCACAGAACTTCGGAGAAATTTAAAGGTGGTTTGATAACATTTTGAAATCACAATAACGCCTTTATCTTGAGAATCTATTTTGTATTTTTTTCTGTCCAAAAATGCACTTCAACTCAAGTGGAATATGCTTTGCCGATGAAAATTTAACAAATCTCACCCGTATATCGCAACAATTTTCAAAACGCAGGTCCATATCGTCTACGAGACATCAGTAATTGTAGGATTTGAATTCATACATACAACGCACATACGCCCAAGTGAAATTAATCGGATATACATACTGTACTGTGTAATTAATTATATAATCCAACATATTAGAGCCTAACGGATTACTGAGCAAAGTTATAGCAATTCCAATGTCTGAACAGCTGCAATCAGATTTATCTTACATTCGTCGACCTCAAACAAATCTAGAAAATTCTCTTGGGTATTGATACGAAGGCTGCATATTTCGTTTCATAGACACAGACAGGAGACATAAAAACAGAACTCCTCATCATTTTTTTTCGCATGATTTCAAAGAAAATTCTGTGCATAGGCCGAAGAGTGCGTCTCTCGATCAGGAAAAATCACACAAGCTCTGATCAACCAGGCTCTGAAAGCTTCAGCAAATTTTCTGAAGTTTGCTGAGAGCCAATGTTGAAAACAAATGCAACGATTTGACCAAGGAAAAATGTAGGGTTTCATGCAACTCTATCACGATCATGACTTTGAGATTGATTTAATCTTCCAGAAACAAATGGGCTCAGGATCTCAGGAGGAAAATACACATGTTGTAAAGTAAATATTGTATATGGAAGTGTGGAAAATATCCTCCAGTTGTAAAAAAGAAATACTGAGACCACCCAATATAATTGCTTTGAACAAGTATAGAGGGATAAGGAATGACAAATTTTCAGGTACAGATTGTTGCACATGTTTAAGAGCACCCAGAAAGCCTCCCAGGGAAAGCTTCGAAAATTCCCCGGATTTTTGAGGCACCTGGAGCGCCGATTTTTACTGAAATATTGTTGGCAAGGCTGGCACTAGACCCCAACCTCAGAAGGGCGCCAGAGAGGATTTTGAAGGCTTAAGCCCTTCTTGCGTCGTTTTCAACCTGCGTGGTTTACCGGGTACCAACAGATCACCCTGATATTCCCTGCCCCTATTGAATTCATGGTCCCTGTCCAGTTGACCCTTTCACACTCATAGTGACTGTTTTTGGTGGGTGTCAGGGAATACCCTTTTTTTCATGAGTTGAAAAGAAAGTCGCTCTCTTTGAGGATAGAGTCAAATGAAAATACGCAAAACATTTTGAAAAGTTTTTAAAATTTTCAGATTTTTAAATTACTTTATTCCATGCAGAAAACTCTACAAAATTATACCAAACATGAAGGATTTTGAAACTCCCTTCATGTTCAGTCAGTTTACACAATGTTGCACAAATTAAACAGCAGCAAATTATGCACTCCTTTACATAACAGGCCATGTCACATTGGACAAAAAATACAGCAGCAGAAGCAGGATAAATTCCCACAGGAGAAAATATCCGGCATCCCAAGAATCTAGTACAAACTAACATTCCAAAAAACTTGTAGGAACAAATATTCCCAAAAATCTTGCAGGAAAATGAATGTCCAAGCACAAATTTTTGTGTAAGAAAAGTCCCCTGTGAAAAAATGCAATGTACAGTACAATACTGTGGTGATAGATAACATTTAAACACATTTTTAATGCTCAGCACGTTTTCAACCTTACACAAGTTTTTGTCAATGTCCATTGGGTAGACCTAAAAATTCATGGACATTAAAAAACTCAGACTAGGTCACACGATAAAAAGATATAGGAAGTGAGGAATCCAGTGAGGCTGATCAGGTAGACCTAAAAATTCATGGACATTGACAAAAAATTGTGAAAGCTACTTTCATTCATATATTTCATACCCCAGATAATATTTAAACCACGCTGGAATTGATTTCTGAAGATTTCCCCACAAAAGCTAGTCTTATAAATGACTCAAAAATGTAAAAAGGCCAGGAAAAACTGCGCTGTTTTACAAAAAATGCCACATATAGTTTCTGCTCTCTTTCTTTCATTTCCGATCAGCACATTCAAGTAATGTTAAGTACAGTATCTGTATTCGGAAGACTGTGATAAGGCACATCAAAAAACTCGATTTCACACGAATTCTTACACTGATCCATGAGCACATACTTCCGCACAGGAACATGAACACAAGGAGTTCTCGGAATGCGTGCTGAATCATTACAACAATCAAAATAAAAGCTCGATTAAGATACGAATCTCCGATAGGCACAATTTTAGGCAGCAGCAATAACAACAAACATCAGATCAACAGAAATAGCGTATAAAAAAAAGGCCACAGGTAGGAAATATTCTTCTCTCGCGGGAAACAAACAATTTAAAACCTTGATAAAATGGACGAATAAGTTATTTTTTTCTTTTTTTTTAATCGTTCCTCGATGGAACAAAAACATAAATAACGATCTCACGGTCCGGCGGCCGCAGGAACGCTTTGATTCGGCACGCCATTTTCGCCCTGTTCGTCTTTTAGCTCTTTGTACAAAAACCACGTGTTTCCTGTCCACATGATGAAGTTCAGGAAGCCAAGGAGCTGAAAATAAATACATACTTCAACATGAGAACACATTTGAAATTTTGAAAGTACAGCAGATGCATGCACAATGATCTTCACTCCCAGTGATATCTTTTCCCATCATGTCCACTAATGTGTATATTGATTTTGTGCAGGTAGATGTCACTAGTAGTCAAACTGCCTTTTTCATTTTACATTAGACATTCAAAATTTCTCAACTTGATTATTTTTATTCCCCATGATGTAAACTTTCCTATCTTGTCCATTGAAATGACATATTGTTCTTGTGCAGATAGATGTCACAGGTAGTCCAACAGATTTGCTTCTAAATCAGACAACTGGTGTCTCAAACCAAAATTTTCCATTATTACTTTATTCCTTTTTCTCAAGACTTTCCCATGATGTCCACTGAAATGCATATTTTTATCTTGTGAAGGTAGATGTTACTGGTGGTCGAAGTACCTTTTTCTTCTACCTCAGACATTCGAAGTATCTCAAATCAAAACTTGTCATCATCATTTACTGCCTATGATGAGGACTTTTTCATTATGTCCACTGAAATATATATACAGTACTGTATTACTCTTTTGCAGCTAGATGTCACTGAAAGTCGACCCAAAATTTCATTCAAGATCAGAAATCTTGTTTCGAATTGATATTTTTCATTTTATTCAGGGTCAAAGCTAAATTTCGAGTATAAATAATGAAGGTGGAGTTTTTTTCAATTTTAACATTTTTACCTGCTTCCTCAAGCAATGGAGGTCAGCATATTCATCTCCAAGTTAAGCAACACCAATTTTTATTGATCGAAAAAAAAATGCATGCTGCCTTTTTTTTTCCATCGCGCAATAACTTTTATTTAAAAACTTACGACTGAGATTGTGAGGGCTGCGAATGATCCACTCCGAGGATTGTGAAGCTTCGCCATGTCCAAACCATAGAGAAACTGCGGGGTTCTGATATATTCCACTGGATCAGTTTCATGCTTCAAACCACTGAGACCATTGGCCCAAGCTCCACTGCCGGCTAACCAGAAAGTAGCGAGAACCAGAGTAAGTCCAAAATCCTGAAAATGCAAAAAAAAAACACATAACTTTACACAAGAAACTCAGCTTTTTGCGACTTTCTCAAGCAGTTTTCCACAAGTACAACGACTTATCCCAATGAAACTCGACCGACTTCGCAGATAAAGCAACACGATTGTGCACCAACTGATTTTCAAAACTCTCAAAAAACGCGAAAAAAATATTGTGATGTAATCACATTCGGTCTCTCACCACATATCGAAGACGCTTGTCCAGCCGATAGTTTTGCTCGCCCAACAAATAAACAGCGACCGTGATCATTGCCCACAACATGGAAAGGACGCCAGTGCCGACGAAAAACTGCGCATCCGAAGAATAGTCTCCAAAGAACGTGAACTTGGTCGGCTTAGTCGCTCCGCACAGGATTTTATTTTCAGAATGAGATCCCAAGCTGTTGTCAAAATAAAAATGTATTTCCATTATTTTTTTTTCAAGGATTGAAACCAACATGAGATTACAGTATTTTTGATTTAAAGACGCTTTTCAAACTGGAAATTAAAAGTTTCTTTCACATAACGCCGGAAAATTTCTTGCACACACGGATTGAAAAAAATTACGAACCAATTTTCAAATGACAATACATCGCAAATTTAAAACTGAAAATAACCGCTGGCAACGTTTTTCAAGAACACAATTAAAGTAGGTGATAAATTATGATGAGACTTCGGTACTTGGAAATGAAGTCGCACAACGCTCATTCTTAATTTCCTCAAAGATTCATTTTCGATTGTATCAACTGATTTCTTCAACTCATCACCTCAGAAAAAAAAAGGAAAAGGCACAAATTCACAAACCACAGCATGAAATAATATTTCGCACGCGAATCGAAGACTACTTCAGCAGGAGAAAATCAGGAAGAAGGGAGCTTTGAAAATATTCTGAATAAATTTAGCCCACACAAGTTCCCCTCAAAATATTACTCACTGAAATGGATACGGAACAGTGAGTCTGACAGCTTCCGTTTTCCCAGTACCGCAGTCATAATCGAAGCCAATGGATCCAACGAAGTTCGTTACGGAAGCAAATGCAGCTATGGCGAAAATCTGGACATAAATTGAAAACATTTTAGTTGAGAATCAGTGGCTCCTTTCATTTAAAAATTTTTTTCAGTCCTGAATCTACGATAAATCCTTTCGATCGCGTAGGTGTCGCCTCAATAAAAGGGCAGTTCCAAAAGTAATGAGCCTTCTTTTTCAGGTCTTGCCATTGGGTCACTCCGCCACAACTTTCCAGGGAGGCTGAAGGTGGTTGTTGGCAAAAAAATTTTTTTTAGCTGAGTTCACTCCAAGAGTTCAGAATGGTAGCATCAGGTTTCAAGTGAACCCCTTTTTGGCAATTTGTGACACGGCAGAATGGAAAATTTGTTGGAACAATATTACGCCATCAAGTTTTGTCCATGTTTAGGCAAAACTGCCACTGAAACATTCGTAAGTCATTCGAGACTGAATGCATTTTGCATTTGCAAGTGAAAAAGTGGCACAAGGCCTTTAAGGAGGGCTGGGAATCAAGTGACTGATGAACACCAGTCTGGATGCCCACCTTCAGCCAGAACCAAAAGACATTCAGTCTCAAATACCCCTGGTCGCATTGCAAATGTTTCAGAAAATATCTTCTCGAAGGAATGTACAGTATTACTTCAAGCTAGATTCAGTAATACAGTATCACGTCACAGATAGATGCGACACCTGCATGACATCACATGAACCAATCATGTCAGTAAAGTACTGTACAGTACAGCATAAACATGCAGGTGGACTCTCTCAACAGTGCTGCCAAACTCAGATGTGTGCCAAGGACCACATTATTATTTGTTGCCACAGGCTACATTGAAGAGTTGGAGACTTCTTGCAGTACACAATATACAATACAATATTGTTTGAGGTTCTGAAGTTTCCCTTGCAAATAAAAAGTTTCAAATTTATATCAGTGCTATGCATTGAATCACACAGAAAGCCTTACAGAATTTTTGAAGGGCGGAGCAACACCACTGATGATAATACTGTAGTTGAATAATAGATTTTTAAATTTATCATTCAATATTTATTTTGACCCATGTCCTTCAGCCACCTTGAAAATTACAGAGAGGACCAAGGGACAGATGTAGCATTTCTGTGGGCCAGATATGGCCCACAATTTTGTCTGTATAATGGATTTTTTGGACCCACAGAATTCTCTCCCCCATGTTATAGGGGTTCTCTACAACAAAATTCTCTTTACAACGGTATTTTTTCAGGTCCCTTGAATTTTACTGCAGAGAGAATTCAATCATAATGCCAATTTCTATCGCACAACTCACGAATTCCAGGGCCCTGATGAAACCCCGGGGCTCCAAAAACGGCTGCACAGTCACAATCATCACACCGAAGTAACACAGCAACGCAAATACAACCTTAAAAAAAAAGCAAAACATCAAGTTTTTCGTTCTGATTGATCACACACAAATTTTGATCGTGAATAAATCAACGCTCCCGAAACTCCTTTTCGTTTTGCTCTCGCTTTCAACCACCTTCATCACGATTGCTGAAGAAAAGAACACAAGGTACTCTCAACCCTTGGAGCACTGGAAGTCCACCCCCAACGAGTGCGGAATTTTGGAGTGCATTCACTGCATAATACCCCTTTTCTCTCAAAACGATTTCAACTGATCGTTCAAGTGTTTCACTGTCCCTGAATCGATTTCACCATAACAGAAAAATAATCAACTACCGACAACGCGTGTCACACTTTTTTCTTCCGTCTTCGCCCCGTCCGTGAAAAATTCCTGAACCGAAGTGATAGCAACCCCCCAAACAAACGTATCTTCGGGATAAAAACTGGCATCATTGCTTTTTTTCAAGCTTCTACGAGACCCATGTCCTTCAGCACTTGTTTCACATCGTCGAATACCTAAAAGAACACACACAATTCTCGGTCAAATTCACAATGGTCACAATGCGGTACGAAGCTGATGCAGGGTTTTTTTTTTCAAGGTTTTATCACACTATTCAAACATGAGATCCCAGGGTGAGATAGTCACAGAATAAAATACACTTCCGCGAAAAAAAACTCGCTTCACTTCTGGAGTATTGGTTCAAAAGTATCTTCACCAGGAAATTTCCAACGTGGGAAATAATTTTAATGCAAGTTGGTTGAATATTCTGACTTTTTTATCACCCCCGATCAGATTGGAATCGAATGTTGACAGTATTTTTACCCTCATCAACACCTTGATAAAAAACCCCGAGTCGCATGTTCAAAGATTAGTCAGATGTTTACGAGGAACTACATATTTTTTTAAAAATACACTAACTACGAACTTTACTTAGGTCCGAGACACGAGGAACAGATTCCCATCAAATTTCGTGAACTCCGAGACATGAGGAACAGATTCCCATCAAATTGCGTGAACAGGTGCTCAAGTACGGGTTGCAATAATTTTTTTCTTCAATCAACCGAGGCTTACTTCAAGTCAGACTAAAGATTTCACATTGGTTTTGAGGATTCTGATCAGAAAACTTCGGTAGCCTAGCCTAAGATACCGTACTCAAAAGAACTTCAATTCATAGAATTTTGACGTCCTGCAATCGGCGATTATGAGCTAATGACGATCTTTTCGACAGCCAAAAAAATACATCTCAACACACAAGTTTTGAGATGAGAATAAACAGATTCGAAATTCCGTATAAAAAAGCACAGTACAGTATATCTAATTAATTTACTCGAAGATTTTTTTGGAAATTCTCAAGAACCAAAACGTCGCAACAAGAATAAATTTTAAACTTGAGAAACTTCCAAATCATAAGATTCATCACTTACTTGTTCCGCAGGTCGTTCGGCGTTGATCCTACGCAAAAGGCCTAATTTATCGTAATGCTCCACTATGGGCAACGTCGCTGACCTGAAGGTGACCAGACGTTTCTTCAAAGAGGTCAAGTTATCGTCGCTGCGACCCGATCCAGCAGCACCTCTCCCCATACAACGCTCGATGCAGATCTAAATTTACAAATATTTTTTAAAACAACACATTCTTGGAACGTCGTAAATCATTAAATCCTGGTATTTATAGTTTGTCAGAATTTCAAGCATCAAAATCACGGGAAAAATTCGATGATAGAAAGTCACGTAGAAATAAAGTAATGCTTCAGAATCTGGCACTTAAACCGCGTGGTTGAACAGAAATTTCAAGCATTCCGCCCAATTCTGGAGTTGAGTAAATCCAGATTTCATAAGATAAATTCATCCAATTACGCTCAAGCCAAGTCTATTAATGCGGGTGAACAGTATGTCGCTCACATTCATAATTGTCATACTTAGCTCTCTCAAAATCAAATGCGTTTGTAGATCAAAAATTCTAGGATTCTTTTTCCCCCAGGCTCCAGTCAAGCGTACATTGACGTACATAGACGTCACTTGCAGTCATGAATTCCAAGCTTCGCTATTTTTTTACATTTTGAATTACATTATTCTATAACTGCAAGTATCCTTAAAAAAAAGCTCCAGGCACAATTGAAAGCTTCCAGCATCAAAGGAAAAACGCACATTGAAAGAAGTTGTTTCGGGTCTCACGGGAAACAATAAGAAACTCACGTCATCTGAACAATCCATACACAGCACCAGCTTCACAACCGTCTTGTCGGCCATATTTTTAGTCCAACCCGACAAATTGTCCTCATTACGCGGAAATCCGTCAATCAGGAACTTATGCTTTCCACTTGCCTTCATCGCCTTTGAGAGAATAAAAAAGGAAATGTAATTACAGCAATTGGAGATTCAGAATTGGTGCTACGCAACGAATGGGAAGATTCATGCACACTGGCGACATCTACGAGTGGAAAATCAACTACGCTGTAAAATGATGACGAATAAAAAATGGAAAGAAAAGCAAGGCTCGAAAAAAAAAAAAAAATGCAGACATAGCATTGAAACACGACACTCGCGATGACAAGACACATTTTCAACACAGAATTTCTATATTTGGCGGGCAATCCCTTTTTAAAAGTCCATTATCCGAATCAAAAATCTCCGGCAGCCCAAGTCCGTTGTAGAAGAAATAAATTACGCTAAGCGTTCACTGATTCGAATACTACTGTAATTTTTCACCACCATTTCGCACTTTGAATGACATCAAACCGAACCTAATAGAACCAAATGACGACTAAATCGCGTAAAACTACTTTAGTTCGTTCTCCATTCATTCGATGGCGTTATTAAAAATTGCATCTTCACCTTATGAAGCAGCTCGCAAGTTATTTCCACTGGCACAATAGTTCCATTCACAATGTGATACTCAATCAACTGGCCAACTTCAGACTCTTTGTTAGCTTGTTCATCTCTCAACAGATCACCGGCAGAAAGATGCACAAATTCAAACTCCTGCAAAAAAAGACAAAATAAAACATTTTTCGTATTTCAAGAAGGAATTGAATAAACTGGACCATACTTTTATGATCTTGGAACATTGCGTTCCCTTGCCGGAACCAGGACCCCCCAAAACGAACACAACTTCCGGAAGAGCAGCCATTTGTCGACTAAAACCTCGAACTGCAGATCCGAACACCCGACTGGCAATCGAAATCAGTTTAAAGCTTCACACAACCTGCAACCACAAAAGGGATCGAAATAAAATCTTTGAACATTCAATACACAAAAGCAAATTTTCGAATGAGTGCATCAAAATTAGCAAAAATGAATATAATCTGAACGCATCATTTATAACAATATGAGAACTTATAAAAAAAAAAGGATGTACAAAACTTGTTTACACTGGGACCAGACACAAAATCCCGCCCACCCTAAAAGGAATTTCTTTGAACTGACGCAGTTCAGCAGTGGACAAATTGACGTGACATCCCCCCCAGAAAAGAAGGATTGGAGCGTATTTCAATTTGCCAAAACTTTACAAGAATATCCATGAAAAAAGTGTCCCACCCCAAACTTCAGATGACTTGACACCCAATCACAGCAACAAGGCATAGATCAGAACCTCACGCACCCACAATGTGACGTAAACAGCAGCATGTGCTAAAACAAACTCGGTAGATTCTTTCCTACAACACAGCCTCCCCTCAGTCATTCTATTCTTTTTGTGTTTTTCTGCCATTCAGGCATCAACAACCCATGATAAAATCTCACTATATTATTGAAATTTAAAACCATTAACTCAAAAATTCGTCAACGACGATCAAAATCAGAAACACTGAAAAAATATTTCCAAGTGCCCAATCGAAACGATGGCAACACTATCAACCTGATATCGTAACAAAGTTATAAAAAAAACTTTTTCATCATACTGTATTTGATATTTATTTTCAATTCCGCCAGAAAATCATTTGATTTAATACCTCACTTGATAAAAAGGACCCAGTTTCTCATTAAATTCTTTAAAAAAAAAACGTAGGTACTTGGCAGTTTTTTGTGACGATATTTCAACAGTGGTCCACAGTGGGGACCCGATACAGTATACGGACTATTCGACTTCGGGACAAAACTTGAAATAAAGGACAAACATCCAGTCAGTGTCTCGAGGTACAGAAGTTTTGTCAACATTTCTTTTGAGAAACGGTAAATTTTATTTAAAATTTTATATTTCTAGGACAAATTAAAATATATATACTGTACTCACAAAAATTCAAAATAAACAATAAGAAAATTACTCCAATCTTAATCCAGATCAGGATAATTGTGTGATTCTTTTTTGCTTTTTGAGCTCGTTCTCATAAAAGATCAAATTCTGCGCGGGTTTCTTCTGCACAATTATTTTCTGCATTTTTAAATTGAGAAAACCATTGTATTTCCTTTATGAGGGGACTTCTTCCTAATTTTTAAAAACTGGAGAACCATTTAAGTTCCCATTGAAGTCTACGGGAAAATATGATAAATTACGCGGACGTGCCGACATACGGACAAGGTCCACGCACCAATAAAGTCCGCATCTCGAGGCCCCACTTTAAAAACACTTATAAACCGACATTAATCAAAGTGAGAAACTTGGATCGTAAAACTTAATTATTAGGTAAAGGTGACAATCTTTCTCTTCTCCTGACGCTCGAATGACCGCCTATTATTTTCTTCCACAGAATTCCTAACCTCACCCTCGCAATTTAAAACTTATGCACCAAAATAAAATAAACGTCAAGAGGCTGCATTCCAACATACATTACAGTACCCCATCCAAAAAACAAAAAAAAAGGTGAACAGAAAATTAAGAAGCCTAGGCACGGATTTTTCATCGCGTTCGACTTCCCCACACCGACGTTCTCCTATTTCCTACAGTCGGTCGGGCAATGGTCGAGAAAGGGTGCTTATTCAGCGTCATGTGTGGCAAGGCAACCAGATACTCTCTCAACACAGACGACTCAATCATGCACGAAAAGGCTTGAAGCGAACGAAGGCGCTTGAGCTTCGTTATTTCCCCGAGTGCCCGGTTGGTCAAATTCAAACACCGACTGATACCCAACTCTTCCAGCTGCGGCAAACCCGAGATGATACTCCGGAGGCCTTGATCCGTAATGAGAATATTATCGCTAACGTCCAAATTCACCAGATCCGGACAGTTCTTCACCACGACTCCAACCTCCGCGTCACCGAACTGGGGTCGGTAACCCGCCACATTCAGTCGCTTCATCGTCGCCGGTAAAGACTCGAGTACCCGACAAATGTCCTTAATCTTGGCCCAGGAAATGTTTACCGACTCCAGTGGGCACGACTGGAATACCAGGGAAATGCTTTGATCGATTTCGTGGCACATGCTCATGTCGAGCGTGTCCAGACGACTGTTGTTTGCCAATGCCGCGCAGGAATCCGCGTTCACACACAACATGCTAAGGCTGATTTTGCGCAACGAAGTGCACATCGAAAGGAGTGCAGCGAGGTCTTCCGCTGAAATTGTCGCATTGCTGAGATCCAGGAGTTGAAGCTTGCTTTCGTTCATTGACTGGGTTCCGATGCAAGTCGGGGGTCTCATCACGGGAGACTCGAATTCTGCAGACGCAAACCGCAGTACGGCGAAGCCTGAATAATAAAAACAATAAAATCGAGGAATCTGGATTAAATAACACACGTCATACAGTTGAGTCCTACAACTTTCAAGTTTCAACAGCGGAGAAAGAATAAAAATCCGAACCCAATCTGTTCATAGATCGAAACAAAAATATGTAGTGACGAGAAAAGGGCTTGGTTTTGAAAATGAAACGCATCAAAGCAAAATTTTGACTTGAATTTAAGCCAAATGGTATTACTTTTTCATTATAAATGATTCCTAGTCGAATTTTTTTTAATCGCTTCAAGGATCTCAGTGAAAAATTGTATACCTCCTTATGACGCGCACCATCTTTTCTGCCCCATTTCATTTTGAAAAAATTGCGCGTGGTACTTGAGTAAATACAGTACTTGATTAATCCGTTACCAGGAGAATTCCAGGGATAATCGTTTTCTTCCTTTTCAATAACACATGTCATCACTTCTTGCATCAAACGTTAGGCATACATTTCAAAAATCCTTTCCAGTAAGATCTGGCGAAGCCCGTTTTTTTAAAACGTGAAATGTTTTCAAACAATTTGGGAATTGTGCACTTTCGAAGGAAAAAAATTAACTCTCAAGATGTTTTTCAAACGAAAATTGTCCGTCAACACAAGATCAAACCTTTTCTGAGACGCTGCAAAACTTATCTTTTCTAGAACTTGGACACCCAACTGTTGAGAGAACAACATCTACTGCAAAATCAAATTTTTACCGCTTTCGAAATTGTTCCTCGTTTCAATCATTTTTAATATGCAAACCTGCTGGAAATTAGGATTGCTCAGCACGTAACGAATATGTAATAAAAACAAAAAATCAACTACAGAAGCTTATTTCAACATCAGTCAAAAATAATAATCGTGGAATACCGAAAAATCCGAATGCCCTCGGAAAGTTTCAATCTACTTGCAAAATTACTCGAGACCCGAGAAAAAGATAGGTTCCAAAATAGGTGAAAATTCGATTCCATTGAACAATTTGACTTCGCGAGGAATTTTCGCAAGTCCATATTGCCAATTTAAAAAAAAAAAACTTACCAAGCGAAAGTAAGTGCGACACGGTGCCTGATTCCACTCTCCGGCTGCCCAAGTCGAAAAATTGCCACAGGGATTCGTCGTAAGCGAGTCGACGCCAACGCTTACACACTCGGGCACACGAAGCCAACACGGGTTTCGGGAGCCATTCGAAAATCATCAAAATAATTTCATCACTGAAACGGTCCATGTAAGGCACTTTCGTGAGAGCCCGATCCGTGATGCATCGGATGACAAAATGACTCGATTTCCAGTTCCTTCAGCACAGCTGGGTCGTAGGTTTTGTCCTTCAAGGACCAAGTTGCCCTACCACCGTCCCCAAAGCTCTGATCCATAATCTCACACTTCCGAAACAATTAAGGCACGAATTACCTGTGGAATAAATGGCATGAATTATCAATCAGCGAGGGGAAAGATAAAAAAGATTAATGACATAACAAGTGCTCTCACAGAAAAGTGAACTTCCCTTAAAAGCAATTTGTTAAAGAATACTTGAAAATTTCAGGAACACTTCTCACTTCATCATGCGATGAACATGCTCAATCGAACTTCGAAAATCAGTTCAAATTTAATATAAAATCGCATTCAGGATTTAACTGATTGAAAACTTCATCACGGTATTTCCTTCGTTTAAAAAAAAAATGAAGAAAAATTCACCTCGCACAATTTGGAATCAATTACGACGCTCGACCACTTCTCTCTGCCGAATTTCGGAAAAAGGTAAGAATTGCGCGATGCACTTGAGTGAATAATTTACGCAATATTACAACCTTAATGCTGATACACATCTAAGAGCCCCTCTCTTTTCTGCAAGACACAAAATACAGGAAATCGACAAAAAAAAATTGCGGACACGATCACATCACCAACAAGTCATTTAATGACCCAACAAAAAAAGTGATCACCCGAACACATTCTCGGCTTCGTCCACCGGGAAGGAAAGCGAGCGTTGCTTCACTTCCCTACCAGCCTTCGTCATAACACGATTGTCATATTTCGTCATACTTCCCAACATTCTCCGGTAGAAGCCCGGGGTTCGGTACTTCGAATTTTCCCACAGTGTTTTGCCGCAGAAACTGCCGTCGAAGATCTTGATCGGATTCAACACAAACCGGGGGCCGATTTCGTTGAGCGCACCAGATTCTTCGTTTATTTCGTAGTTTCTAAACCAGATTTTTTCGTCAAGGTAAGAGAAGACGAATACGTGGTCTATGAATGGCTGGCTGTGAGGGTGGAACCTCGGTGTGTTGAAAACTTGAGAGATCAGCTCCTTCAGCACTTTGCCATGAGCAGAGGATTCGAAGTTTTCACTGAAGGTAAGCAGAGCCCTTGAGCCTCTCAAACAATTTCCTGTCAACTTCAGTTCGGCCATTGTATGAATATTCTCAACCTATTGAAAGCAAGAAAGAGATTTGGAAATTTGTAATGGATACGGAGAACGGGCAAAATATTTTTTGTGTACCTGGAATTTTGCGCTAGGACCTCCTGGAACGTTCGAAAGCCAGGCATACAAGTCCCGCTTCCGTCGAGCTTCAAAGAAAATTGATTTGCTGCAATTCTTCATCTCACAGATCTCGTTGATGGCCGACAATGCTTCGTTCTTGTCCTTCTTGGCCTCCTTCTTTGAGTGCGGGAGAAGATTCCGCAAGTCTTCCATCAAGTGCCGGTGAAGATGTGTGATGCCGCGAGTGGCGAAAATGAGAACGCGTTGTTTGTTCATCCAGCGTTTAGCTAATGGCGGAGGGTCGTCCGAATGCCTCATTGCGGGAAGGACAACTTCATCCGAAGCAATCTGTTTCGCAGATTTCATCTTCTTCGCCTGAGGCACATTCTTTTGCTTCTTGGGTCGTTTTCGAGACGTCAGCACGGGTTGTGCAGCTTTACCCGTTTCACTCCCGCGATTTAATGCACTGAGTAAAACGAACTTTCCAACCGATTCTTCTTGCGCAGGCATGTCTGGTCTCTTGGAAGTACATAAAATAGCATATAGATTTTACACATGACGGTACATGCACACATTTTCCCTCATTTCCTGAAAAAATTCCAACGAAGCTTCTGCGCCGCATAGGTCCCTTCAGCAACATTATCACAAGACTCATGCATTCACGCAGGGAATATGGAGATGTGAATTTAGCTTTGAGCGAGGAAAACAGAATCTGTGAAAACGTCTGCGGCCAACTCGAGTAAACAAATTAAACTATTTTCGGATCACAAACGAAGGACGTGTGAAGATGCGGCTGATCAATTGGCGGTTTCTCGGTTCATCGTCAGCTGTGGGCTACAACTTAGGTGGGAAAGCTGAAGGTACAAAAGTTTTCTGGAAAACCATAGGTAGTAATCGTAGTATACAGTAAAGTACTGTAAACTGTACTGATTACTGAAGGAAATAGAGCATAGAAGACTTCTCGGATACAAAAAGTATCCTAGCGTACTGTAGTTCTAGAACTTCGGTGCACGAGTATAACCGTCCACTACCGTATCTTCAACGTTGTCTTTAGCAGGTGAAAATCAAGCATCCATCAATTATGGCACAATATTAATATTCATCATTACTACAGTACAGTATTTACAGTACACGCTGTTAACTGATTTTCCCAAAAATTATGAATTATATTAAAAATCTTACCATCCCATCATTTATTATATACAGGCAGGGCCAGATTAAACCACATGTTGGCCTGATGCTGCACAAAAAACGGGCCTAATTCTCCTTTGCGATAAAAAAGCATAATTTTTTGAACACCAGCAAGAAATCACTTCAGAAAAATGTTGAGGCCACCATAAGGCTTTTTGAGTGGGAACAGCAGTGACAAATTTTATCCTGTCAGGCAGCATGGCATGGTTGGAATTGAAATCTTTGATTGAATTTTCTCCTGGCTATGATTCCTTGTCACTGCATCTTCCTGTTTCTGGCCATATTGGCCATGATTTCCTTTTTCTATGCAGAAATGATTGTGGGCTCTCAACTGATTTTCATCTCCTGCATCTGGTTTCCTCTTCAATGGTTTTTATATGTGCAAGGTGCTGAAATTGATTTCTTGGTGCCTGATT